AAAGATGCACCTTAGAGGCCTCACAAATAAGAAGCAACATGCAGATATATGCAAAATAGCAAAGTCCAAAAGCAAGACAAACAAGGTATTAATTAGTTTTATTGAACAATTCTGGTTTTGTTTCTATGAATGATTATGGAAGTTCAAATGTGAAGTAATGGTTGAATAGGAAAAAGAGCACAACATTACAACTAAAGAAAAAAAAAGGAAAAGACAAAAAAAAAAGGAAAAGTGAATAAAGAGAACATATCTTCTATAAATGAAACAAAAGAATCAAAAAAGGAGAAAGAAATAAGAATTCAAAAAGTAGCTTCTGACAGAGTTGACAGATGGATAAAATCAGGTGGTAAGGAAAAATGGTTAAGGTTTAAAACAAATTAAGTAATTTTGATATAGGCTAGTAGCAGCCTCTTGCTAACTAAGAGCTAGAAATTTGTATATACAAATTTAAACTCTTATGAGAGAAATAGTTGCTGCGGCAGATCACACTTAGGTGCTGAAAAGTAACTGAGTGAGTTCGGATTAGTTTTAGAAAAGTAGTTTGCTGTAAATAGTATAGCATTTTACTTGTAGCTTAAATTAGCTTATTCTTAATAAAATAATGGGCAAGATCACCTAAGTTAAAAAAAAAAATAAATTAAATTAAAACCTATTTGAGATCAACTTTAGTTAACTACTTAGCTAAGTTTAGTTAATTAATTAGTTAACTAAACTTAGTAAAATAGTTATCTAACTATTATTACTAGGTTTAGTTAACTAATTAGTTAACTAAACCTAGTAAAATATTTAGTTAACTAGAAATCTTATTGAACTTGAATATATTCATAAACTTTTAGACTGAACTCAAAATGAACTAAACACAATAAAAAAAATCAGACCTGAACCTAAACCTGTACATATTCTCAATTTTGTTCATTAGACTGAACTCAAACTTAATAGAAGTTCAGTTCAGTTTAGTTCAATAGGAATACTACTAAAAAGTATCTAATATTTTTAATTGTATTACTATAATAGAAAAAAGATATTTAATATATCTATCTATATTAATTCTTTAAAATTTTTTTTAAAATAATTTAATAAAGCAAAGTAAAAATATAAACTATTTGCTTTTTTAATATTTATAATAAATAGTATATTTTCTATTCTCTATATCTAATATCAATACTTCTATTAAGATATTTTCTTCTAAAAAATAAAGTTGTATATCTAAATTAGATATATCTCTTTTTATTGAAGTTAGTTTTGTATTTTTATCTTTAATTGCTTTATAAATTATACTAGAATTTGTACTAGCTTTTAATATTGCATAACTATATATTTTTTATTCTTATTTTAATTGATAATGCTTATAAAAAACTTTTGTATTTTTAGCTATAGAATAATTATAATTATTATTATTTCAGTAACTTGCTACTTTGAATTTCTAGAAACAGCTTTTAATTGATATAGATACTTGCAATACTTACTTATCTTCTTTTTTTGTTATATATCTTCTGTTAAATTTAAGATATTATAAAGTTAACTATCTTATTTATATTAAAGATAACAGTATCAATTACTACTACTTTTAGTAGTTATTACAAATTTAATAAATTATGCAATTTCTTAAATAATATTTAAAATATCTTTTTTTGTAATATAAATTTTTTAAGTATTTTAATCACTAATAGAAAATGTATTAGTAATTAATATTACTAATTATTTTATACTTAATAATTATTTATATTTAGTCTCAAAATTTTCTTCATTTTTTTTATTAAAATTGATTTCATTTTTCATATTAGATTCAGCCTTAATATTATCTTCTTTATTAAAATCAATTTAACTATTTTTATTAAAATTAAGTATATTTTTATTAGAACTTCTATAGATATTTGTTTTATAACAAGAAGCAAGTATTTGAGACTACGTACTATATTTTCTATATTATGAATAAAAAGCAGATTACTATAACATATGTATGAATATCTTAGAACATGTATAATTAGATTTTTTTTAATAGTAGTGTTTTTTTGTCTTTATTTAAAGATTTTATAATTTTTTTTATTAAAAATACAGAAATATGATATGATTAAATTATATTATTAACAAACTATTGATTATATTATTAACTTAATTCATTTATTTTTATTCTCTGATCTTTTTAATTTTCAAAAATAATAGTGATAGCAATATATAATTATATATATATATTGCTATTTAATTATATTTGCTATAAATTACATCTAATTAGCTATTGAGATATATTAAAAAATAAGGTACTCATATTAATCATTGCTGTGCTGATAAAAGAGATAAGTTATATATATGCTGTGTTAGTATAATTTCTCTGTGCCAAAAGTTTCAAAATTGATAAGTCAGCAGTTACATTTTTGAAAGATCTACTATGTACTCAAAATTTGATTATGTTCTTAATGCACTTTTAGTAAAATATTTTTGAACTTTGAATAAAGATATCTCAATAACTACTTGACAAAATTAGATGAATTTTTTTTGTTTTAATTCTATGAATATATGGAATTCAAATAAAAAAAAATTATTGATTTTGATCAAGCAGTTGTTGAGATAGCTTCACTCGAAGTTAGTAAACAAATTCAAAATGTCTTAAAATAAGTGCACCAAATTTTTTCTAAAACTTTGAATGAAGATATCTCAATAACTACTTGACTAAATTCAATGAATTTTTTTTGGTTTAATTCTGCAAATATTAGAATTGAAATAAAAAAAATTTCATCAATTTTGGTCAGGTGGTTGTTGAGAATTCTCCCTCAAAGTTTTATAAAAAATTTAGCAAGAATTGATATTTTGAATTTGTTTACTAACTTTAAGCGAAGATATCTCAACAACCGCCTGACCAAAATCGATGAATTTTTTTTATTTGAATTCTATATATTTGTATAATTAAATAATAATAAAAAAATCATCGAATTTGGTCGAGTAGTTATTGAGATACCTTCGTTCAAAGTTTTAGAAAAAATTTGGCGCACTTATTTTAATAAACATTTTGAAATTGTTTACTAACTTTGAGCGAAGATATCTCAACAACTACCTGATCAAAATCGATGAATTTTTTTTTTTTTATTTGAATTCCATATATCCATAGAATTAAAACAAAAAAAATTCATCGAATTTGGTCGAGTAGTTATTGAGATATCTTCGCTCAAAGTTCAAAAATATAAATTTTGAATACATCGTAGATCTATCAATTTTGAAACTTTTGCTTCCCTGTGGCTAAAGCCATGTACCCACGTGACTTTTGCCAATTACGGTGAGTTTAAGGGTTAGAGGTAGAGCTTATTTATAGTAAAATCGCCTTCCCGACATTTTTTTTAATACTCCAAGACAGGTTTTAATGTTTTTTAACTTTTCGTTCATTTTTTACTAATCCGTGTAAACAAAATTTCACAATTTTGATTGATCAATCTACACAAAAAAGTCACGTGGGTACATGGACCCTTTTTTTGGGATAAAATAATTTCTGGCCAAAATTATAAAATTACGCTAATGCAGGCCAAGTGCCGCGCATTTTTGAGTTTTTTGTTTGAATTCTACGAATCTGTAGAATTAAAATATCATCAAATTTGGCCAAGATATTTTTACTGGTTAAAGATTTTTATTTTGCTAATATGTGAGCAAAAATTCTATTGGTTGAAATGTATTCTTGGAAGTTGTAGGATCTTTTCACACCATCCAATCAAATAGAGATTTGGCCGAGACTTCTTCACTATGCTCCGGATATTTTTTCAAAAAAAAAAAAAAAAAAAAAAAAAAAAAATCAAATTTCTAATTTTAAATTTCGGACATTTCGCCAAGTTTCGGTTTCGCCAGGTTTCAGACATTTCGCCAAGCTTCGTTCTTTCGCCCATTTCGGAAATTTCGGATTTATTTTGCCTTTGGGGGAGTTTCGGTTTCGCCTTTCGGATTTTGAAAATTGATTTCGCCTGAAACACTAGTCGGGACAATGGCAAATTTTGCCCCCTGAATTCTTTGTTTATTCTTAATCGACACGCATGTGATGTCTGGTTTTTTTTTGGATTATTGTTACGCCCTAGCAAGTCGATCATATTAGGCTTTGATATCGTTCATTGAAATATTTATCTATCCTCCAATACGTTATCAATCCGGAGTTGTATGTTCCGGAATTTCTTGTTATATCGGAATTGCCATGTGCTGATGCATCACTGCTTAGTTCTCCTTTCGATCTGTTGACCTTACTGTCAACTTGAATTAATCGAGTCGTCGATCTTTGGCTATCAATCTATTTTTAGAACGCGAACATCTCAATAAATTATTGGGTAAAAATTAAAATATATGTAGATAGAAACCGGCAGTTTAATTTGAATTAAACAACTCAAATTTTTAAACAATCATTAAGGGCTGGTTTTCTTAGTCCATTACCCATTTATGGATACTAATCCGGATGACCATCACCAATTCGAATACCCATTCGGATGATCCGGATGGTTTATATAATATTGCGCAACACTGATTAGCTTCGCTAACGATTAGCACTCATTAATTTTTTAATATATTTAGCGGAGTTTGGCAGAGTTTACTACCTATTCTATAGAATATTCTCCCAAATTATGAATTTTAAAATGTTTCGCAAGTTTAGAAGCAGTGATTTACCAGATCAAACTTTATATAAAAATACCTTGAATTACGCGAAATTTAATTTTCGGAATAATTGAAAATGACTCCGATGAATAAATGTTGCGGTTGCATTTCTGTGAGAAGTGGTGTTATAATTATAGCAATTATTTGGATGGTATATAACTTAAATATTTTCTAAATCAAAAATTCTTTACGGTTATATGCTAATTAATGTTCCAATCTTTTGCACTAGCCTGGAGGAATATATGGCTTTATCCAAAATTTTCAGCTTCTTTCAGATGATTATCAATGTATGAATTTTTTTTTGCATTTTATTTACTTATGTCTTTTGCTATTAAGTGTTAATACAGTATCTTTAATTTATTGTATTAGATATTATTGGATCAACTGTTCAAATTGCTTTAGCTGTAAATTCCCTAACGATCCTAATATCCGGTTTTGGACTTATGGTTGTCTGTTGTGCGGTATGTATTGCATGTTAACGATATTCCAAATGTTCATAAAGTTTATTATCAACTATTTTTGGCTAAATATAGGAATCAGCACGTCTCTTGCAAATCTTTTCTGGGCTTTTTATTTTTGTTGTAGTTATTCATTTTATATACGCCATTTATTTTGCCATCGTTGTTTCTTCAAGTGGTTATTTGAATTATTATAAGTATGATATAATTAGACACTTTGTTGGTGCTATTTTGGGGGTATGTTTTTAATTTAATTAAAAATTAAATGTAAATAATTAATTTATTCTAATCATGTAATTAACTTCATAGGTTTATTTTGCCAAAGTTATTGCTGATTATGCTAAAATTGTTAGACTTGAACAAAATAATATTCAAACACTTGGGATAATTGAAGCTTCTAATATAGCAAATAATCAAGATAGAGCTTCCAATATAACAAATAATCAAATTATTATAGCTTCTAATATGACAAATAATCAAGTTATAGCTTCTAATATAACAAATGGTCAAGTTATGGCTTCTAATACAACAAATAATCAAGCTATTAATTAAACCATGTAGAGGGACTTGACACCTGATTTTATTTACATTAAATACTGTATTTTTGATAATTTCATTATAATTTATAACATGTATTAAATCCAATATTTTACCTTGATATTTAAATAATATTTTTAAAAATTGAAATCAATCTTGCAAT